AAAAACACTTGTTTTGGGCCCCTTTTTGGCCCCTAGTTCCTAAACGGTTGGGACCATCATCCACAAAAACAATCCAAACCTTCCTTTTGTGGTATTGAACCTTTTGATTAAATTTTATAGAGATCCATACACTTTAACTAAAGTATTTGTCTGGAAACTAAATGCTTTGGACAATGACAACGACAGCAATATACCAACGCAATTTTTTTGAGGTCGTATAAAAACCAAGGAGTTGGAAAATCTGACAAAAATTCCTTAACCTGACCTAAGTACATCCTTAATAGAGTGTTTAATTGTCTGTTTTCAATATTCATAATAAATTGCTTCGCCGAGCGCAGCTGGATACGACCGCAGAGGTCCAACCCTGAACAGTTAGGGCAAAAATGGACACAATATTCGCGCTTGATACAGGTCTGAATTTGGATTGTAATTCAATATTTGACACATAATAGGTTTCTGACACAGAATAACCGTAGTCAAAGAACTTAGAATTGGTTATATGATTTGAATTTATATGTGCAATACACTATGCTGTTGCGAATTGACCCCCCCCCCCCCCCCAAAATAAAATTTAACCCCCTTTTTTTTTGCTTTTGTGCAATACACTATGCTGTTGCGAATTGACCTCCCCCCCCAAAAAAAAATATTTGAAGACATTTTCTTTTTGATTTCTGAAATCTTGAGGAGAAAAAATTGTCCCCATCCCCCACCATCAATCTTTTTTTACCCCCCCCCCCCCCAGTCTTCACGCTGAGTGGCAGCCCAGGCAGCCCAGGCTTGTAATATTGCTCTCGGGCCTGTAAAAATCATATCTACAAGCCAACAGAATCTAACTAAAAATTTTCAAAAATTGAGCTCCGGGCCTGTAGATTTAGCAGTTCATCGTGAAGACTGCCCCCCCCCCCTTTTTCCAAAAAATTCTTTCCCTCAAGATATGGTCATAATCTCAATTCAAATTTCCAATGGAGTTTGCAACCATAATAACCCATTTAAATACATCATAAAAGTCTTAAAATAGAAAATGACATACATAATCATGGCTAAAATTAATATACCTTAATCAGCATTTTTAAAATTATTAAAATAGTAACTTCTAAAAATAAATTGACAGCTAATCACCTCAAGACAATACAACATTTCTTTATACATAATTTAAAAGCAGTGTAAGGGAGGTAATTCAAACACAACATTGTACTTAAGTAATTGTCCATTAACCAGGACACCCTTGTTTTTTCTCACTTTTTTGCCCCTAATTCCTAAACGGTTTGAGCCATAACTCCCCAAAGCCAATCCTAACCATCCCTTTATGGAATTGAAACTTGTGGTATAATTTCAGAGAGATCCATACACCGTTTCACAAGTTATTGTCATGAAACTAGATAAATGCTTATTTGGGACCCTTTTTGGCCCCTAATTCCTAAATTGTTGGGACCATAACCCCCATAATCAATCCTAACCTTCCTTTTGAGGTTATAAACTTTGTGTTTAAATTTCATAGATTTCTATTTACTAATACTAAAGTTATTGTCTGGAAACCAAATGTCTTCGGACAATGACGACGACGTGATACAAATATACTTTTACTTTATTAACAAGCCTCCAGGGAGCAATTTTTGAAGTCCTTGTGATGTTACTGATCATCTATTCCAGTAGAATGAAGGTTGATCTCTAATTAAAAATAAAGGTCTTGAAAATTAGCTTCTGTCCAAGTTTCAGAACAATCCATGAAGATTAACAAATTTATCAGATCAAAAATATAATCTTAGACTGTCTGTAAATGTTAACTGTAAAAAACAAGCTTCTGTACAAATTTCATAAAACTCCATTAAGGTTTGACAAAGTTATTGATGTCTGAAAAAAGTTTAATCAGAGACTGAACCTAAATAATAAGGATGCAGACGACAGAAACTAGAATGGCTATGTTATGCTTTCGGGACATAAATGTAGCAGGCTCAACAAAAATAGTTCCCATAAAACAACTGTAAATAAGTAATCAATACAATAAATTATTAAGTGTGTCCTACTGAAATTAACCAAACCTAAATTTGTATAGATGGAGTGTAAAATCTTTTCCACAATGTGTCCAACTGGTATCAACCTTACCAGAAGTTGTATCCGTGAAATGTTCCTTGTGTACCACAATGTGACCCACAGATAGTAAGTAACCTTACTAAAATTTGTATTCACTATTGATGGAGCTTTCCTAGTGTTCCACAATATGTCCTACACTCCTAATGATATTAACCTTACCAGAATTTGTATAGACATAGTTTTTCCTTGTGTTCCACAATATGTCCTATACTCCTAATGATATTAACCGTACCAGAATTTGTATAGAAGAAGTTTTTCCTTGTGTTCCACAATATGTCCTACACTCCTAATGATATTAACCTTACCAGAAATAGTATCAAAGGAGCTTTCCTTGTGTTCCACAATATGTCCTACTGAAATAAACCTAGCCCAAAAGTTGTATCCACAAATTTTAAATTGGTCCCACAATTTATATTGATGCAGTTTTCCATTGCGTTCCAAAATGTGTCCTACTGATATCAAGCTTTTCTGAATTTGTATCAAGGGAGTTTTTATCTGTTCCGATCTCAAGCTGTGTCCATCTGATTTTAAAATTACTACTGATATCAACCTTACATGAATATGTGTCAATGGAGTTTCAAATCTGTTCCATAAAGTGTCCTTCTGATATAAACCTCACATGAATTTGTATCAATGGAGTTTTCTATCTGATATGACCTTCAGCTGTCCTACTGATCTAAACTTTTACAGATGGAGTTATTCCACAATGTGTCCTGCTGATATAAACCTTACCTGAATTTGTATTGATGGAGTTTTAAATTTATTCCACAATGTGTCCCACTGATATGAACCTTACCTGAATTTGTATCGATGGAGTGTACCATTTATTCCACAATGTGTCCCACTGATATGAACCTTACCTGAATTTGTATCCATGGAGTGTACCATTTATTCCACAATGTGTCCTGCTGATATGAACCTCACCTGAATTTGTATCCATGGAGTGTACCATTTATTCCACAATGTGTCCCACTGATATGAACCTTACCTGAATTTGTATCAATGGAGTGTACCATTTATTCCACAATGTGTCCTGCTGATATGAACCTCACCTGAATTTGTATCGATGGAGTGTACCATTTATTCCACAATGTGTCCCACTGATATGAACCTCACCTGAATTTGTATCAATGGAGTGTACCATTTATTCCACAATGTGACCTGCTGATATGAACCTCACCTGAATTTGTATCAATGGAGTGTACCATTTATTCCACAATGTGTCCTGCTGATATGAACCTCACCTGAATTTGTATCAATGGAGTGTACCATTTATTCCACAATGTGACCTGCTGATATGAACCTCACCTGAATTTGTATCAATGGAGTGTACCATTTATTCCACAATGTGACCTGCTGATATGAACCTCACCTGAATTTGTATCAATGGAGTGTACCATTTATTCCACAATGTGTCCTGCTGATATGAACCTTACCAGAAGTTGTATCCGTGAAATGTTCCTTGTGTACCACAATGTGACCCACAGATAGTAACCTTACTAAAATTTGTATTCACTATTGATGGAGCTTTCCTAGTGTTCCACAATATGTCCTACACTCCTAATGATATTAACCTTACCAGAATTTGTATAGACAAAGTTTTTCCTTGTGTTCCACAATATGTCCTTTACTCCTAATGATATTAACCTTACCAGAAATTGTATCAAAGGAGCTTTCCTTGTGTTCCACAATATGTCCTACTGAAATAAACCTAGCCAAAAAGTTGTATCCACAAATTTTAAATTGGTCCCACAATTTATATCGATGCAGTTTTCAATGCGTTCCAAAATGTGTCCTACTGATATCAAGCTTTTCTGAATTTGTATCAAGGGAGTTTTTATCTGTTCCGATCTCAAGCTGTGTCCATCTGATTTTAAAATTACTACTGATATCAACCTTACATGAATTTGTATAGACAAAGTTTTTCCTTGTGTTCCACAATATGTCCTACACTCCTAATGATATTAACCTTACCAGAAATTGTATCAAAGGAGCTTTCCTTGTGTTCCACAATATGTCCTACTGAAATAAAACTTGCCCAAAAGTTGTATCCACAAATTTTAAATTGGTCCCACAATTTATATCGATGCAGTTTTCCATGGGTTCCAAAATGTGTCCTACTGAGATCAAGCTTTTCTGAATTTGTATCAAGGGAGTTTTTATCTGTTCCTATCTCAAGCTGTGTCCATCTGATTTTAAAATTACTACTGATATCAACCTTACATGAATATGTGTCAATGAAGTTTCAAATCTGTTTCATAAAGTGTCCTTCTGATATAAACCTCACATGAATTTGTATCAATGGAGTTTTTTATCTGATATGACCTTCAGCTGTGTCCTACTGATCTAAACTTTTACAGATGGAGTTATTCCACAATGTGTCCTGCTGATATAAACCTTATCTGAATTTGTATTGATGGAGTTTTAAATTTATTCCAAAATGTGTCCCACTGATATGAACCTTACCTGAATTTGTATCGATGGAGTGTACCATTTATTCCACAATGTGTCCCACTGATATGAACCTTACCTGAATTTGTATCCATGGAGTGTACCATTTATTCCACAATGTGTCCTGCTGATATGAACCTCACCTGAATTTGTATCGATGGAGTGTACCATTTATTCCACAATGTGTCCTGCTGATATGAACCTTACCTGAATTTGTATCGATTGAGTGTACCATTTATTCCACAATGTGACCTGCTGATATGAACCTTACCTGAATTTGTATCGATTGAGTGTACCATCCACAATGTGTCCTGCTGATATGAACCTCACCTGAATTTGTATCCATGGAGTGTACCATTTATTCCACAATGTGACCTGTTGATATAAAGCTTACCTGCATTTGTATCGATGGAGTGTACCATCTGTTCAACAATGTGACCTGTTGATATAAAGCTTACCTAAATTTGTAACGATGGAGTGTACCATCTGTTCCACACTGTACTCCACTTATGGTTTTCATTCAATTCTAAAATGAGTTTAAATGGTCATTATTTTTGTGTAGTTGAACCATGCATGATAAATAGGATACATTTACCTTTAGGACAATAGGTGTACCTGTTCATTACATTCAGATAAGTTGATTACATGTTTTAATTAAACTTTCCTTTTTACCTAAGGGTTACATTAACCTGTATTTTACATCTGTCATATGCAAATTTATTCATGTTCCTCAAACATTTGGAGAAAAAAATTCACAATTACATTTTTTTCCAATCTAAATTGTAAATTGGCCTATTCTTGTATATGTAATTGTATATATACTGAAGATCTTAAGGAATTGTATGTAATTGTATGTATACTGAAGATCTTAAGGAATTGTATGTAATTGTATGTATACTGAAGATCTTAAGGAATTGTATGTAATTGTATATATACTGAAGATCTTAAGGAATTGTATGTAATTGTATGTATATTGAAGATCTTAAGGAATTGTATGTAATTGTATGTATACTGAAGATCTTAAGGAATTGTATGTTATTGTATATAGATATAAGAAGATGTGGTATGAGTGCCAATGAGACAACTCTCCATCCAAGTCAAAATTTATAAAAGTAAACCATTTTGTATACTGAAGATCTTAAGGAATTATATGTAATTGTATGTATACTGAAGATCTTAAGGAATTGTATGTAATTGTATGTATACTGAAGATGTTAAGGAATTGTATGTAATTGTATGTATACTGAAGATCTTAAGGAATTGTATGTTATTGTATATATACTGAAGATCTTAAGGAATTGTATGTAATTGTATGTATACTGAAGATGTTAAGGAATTGTATGTAATTGTATATATACTGAAGATCTTAAGGAATTGTATGTGATTGTATGTATACTGAAGATCTTAAGGAATTGTATGTAATTGTATGTATACTGAAGATCTTAAGGAATTGTATGTAATTGTATGTATACTGAAGATCTTAAGGAATTGTATGTAATTGTATGTATACTGAAGATCTTAAGGAATTGTATGTAATTGTATGTATACTGAAGATCTTTGCAAGGAATTGTATGTAATTGTATATATACTGAAGATCTTCAGGAATTGTATGTAATTGTATGTATACTGAAGATCTTAAGGAATTGTATGTAATTGTATGTATACTGAAGATCTTAAGGAATTGTATGTAATTGTATGTATACTGAAGATCTTAAGGAATTGTATGTAATTGTATATATACTGAAGATCTTAAGGAATTGTATGTAATTGTATGTATACTGAAGATCTTAAGGAATTGTATGTAATTGTATGTATACTGAAGATCTTAAGGAATTGTATGTAATTGTATATATACTGAAGATCTTAAGGAATTGTATGTAATTGTATGTATACTGAAGATCTTAAGGAATTGTATGTAATTGTATGTATACTGAAGATCTTAAGGAATTGTATGTAATTGTATATATACTGAAGATCTTAAGGAATTGTATGTAATTGTATGTATACTGAAGATCTTAAGGAATTGTATGTAATTGTATATATACTGAAGATCTTAAGGAATTATATGTAATTGTATGTATACTGAAGATGTTAAGGAATTGTATGTAATTGTATGTATACTGAAGATCTTAAGGAATTGTATGTAATTGTAAATATACTGAAGATCTTAAGGAATTATATGTAATTGTATGTATACTGAAGATCTTAAGGAATTGTATGTAATTGTATGTATACTGAAGATCTTAAGGAATTGTATGTAATTGTATGTATACTAAAGATCTTAAGGAATTGTATGTAATTGTATGTATACTGAAGATCTTAAGGAATTGTATGTAATTGTATATATACTGAAGATCTTAAGGAATTGTATGTAATTGTATGTATACTGAAGATCTTAAGGAATTGTATGTTATTGTATATATACTGAAGATCTTAAGGAATTGTATGTAATTGTATATATACTGAAGATCTTAAGGAAGGCACACAGATAATCAGTATTGTCATAGTAACATTAAAGGCAAACATTTGCTTATGAAAAATATACTGTTGAACTATTATTATTCGTGGGATGATACCAATTTTCCTGAAATTTCATTGGTTTAGGTGAAGCGCAATTTTTACATAGGTTTGTATGCAGACTTTAGCAAAACCATGAAATCAAATTTCGACCAAAAATACATTTTTTTCGTATTTATGAAAATTGGTACCCATGAAAATTAATGAATCCACAGTAAGCATGATAGGCAAACATAGGCTTGCCAAAAATATAAATAAAAAAACCAACACAAAACAGATTTGAAAAAATAGTCCCTGTCCTCAGCTCTCAAGACTGTTTCATAAAGGAACCTCTTCTATCACTTAGAGCAGATTTAAGGGATCTAGCAAGGCCACTAGTTTGTCAGTATCTGTGAGATTTGGGATGTCATTAAAAAATTTATTGTAAATGTTTGTTATTTTGACAGTATAGTAGAAAGTGTTTTTCATTGACAACTTAGTTAACAAACATGCAATAGAAATAATAATTAAACATGTAACACTCTGAAAAGTGTCCTCCTCAAAAGGTGCCTATATGATGTCGCTGTACGCCAAAACATGTCTCCCTTGTGTAGGATGCCAAAACATGTCTAGCTTGTAGGTTGCATTTCTGTAAATATTGACAATGCAATTTCCCATAGGAACTCCTTTTACGGCTAAAACTGTACCACTTTTACTATGAAGTTTTGAAAAAAATCATATCCTAGAATGGGAAGTTCATATGCACTACTTTTTTTTTTAAAGGTCAAAATATAGGGCTGTGCGGCATATTTTCAACTTTTTTATGCCCCAAACTTCTAAGAGTTTAAACTAACACTAAATTTCTTAACTACCCCTACCTTAACTGTAGGATTACCACAGATTTCAATATAAACAATATGCATATGTATATTTACTGGTAACATTCCCAAGTTATGTCTCTATGAGATGAAACATAGAGATCATAACTGGGAACCAGTATGTAAACAAAATTAATTATCTATGAATATTCTATATCTCCCCAAAAGAGGCGTGGTTTGAGAAACAGCTGTATTTACAAAGTGCAACCTGTATAGGATGCCAAAACATGTGCTTTTTATAACTCCAAATCATCTCCATATTTTAAAAATGCTCAAAAGTGTCTGCTGTAATTTATGAAAAGTGATTCTTTATCACACTACGGTAGGAATTCTTCAAATAGTTGTTTTTGGCTATTGCTAGCGTCATATTGATTAAATTTTTACAATGATTTGTAAAAATATCTTTTGGCCAATCACAATTTGTTAGACATGTTAAAGGTCTCAAAATTTAACGGCTACCTTTATTTTTGTTATTATTTTGTGATTCGTCAAAATCAGCAGAATATTTTAATATTTATAGAAGTTGAGTTAAAAAAAAGGGCCTTTTATAGCTGACTATACAGTATGAGTTTTTCTCATTGTTAAAGGCTGTACAGTTGCCTTTATTGCTTACATCCACTAAGGGGTTTAGATTAGTGTGTGTACGAGGTCCGGTACCTTTTCTATGAGAGGACTTTTCATTTTCAAATTACAATAAAATGCTCCGTTGGGCGCAGCTTGATACGACCGCAGAGGTTGAACCCTGAACAGTTGAGGCAAGTATGGACACAACATACAAGCTTGATACAGCACTGAATTTGGATTGTGATTAAATATTTGACACAGCATAGGTTTCTGACACAGAATGAATGTGGTCTAAGAGCTTAAAAAATTTTAATTTACCTATTCAAACCATATCATTATTATTTGCTTTTATATATAAATCAGAAATAACCAATTTAAAATGGAAAATTTTAAAGGAAAAGAAGGAAAAAAATATCCCTCCCCCAAATTTTTTGAACCCCCTTATGATTCATCACCCCCAAACTCAATCCCAGCCTTCCCTTTTGTGGTATGGTACCTTGCAGTACAATTTCAGAGAGATCCATACACTTGAACACAGGTTATTGTCTGGAAACTGTAAAAATGTTTGTTTTTAGGCCCCTTTTTGGCCCCAAATTCCTAAACGTTTAGGGCAATTATCCCCAAACTCAAACCCAGCTTTCCCTTTGTGATATGGAACCTTGTAGTACAATTTCAGAGAGATCCATACACTTACACACAAGTTAATGTCCTGAAACTAGAACGGTTGTATAAAAATGCTTGTTTTTTGCCCCTTTTTGGCCCCTAACTACTAAAATTTTGAGGCAATTACCCCCAAAATCAATCCCAGCCTTCCCTTTGTGGTATGGTACCTTGCAGTACAATTTCAGAGAGATCCATACAATTGAACACAAGTTATTGTCTGGAAACTAGAAAAATGCTTATTTTTGGCCCCTTTTTGGTCCCTAATTCCTTAACTGTTGGTACCATAACCCCCAAAATCAATTCCAACCTTCCTTTTGTGGTATTGAACCTTATGGTAAAATTTCATTGAGGTCATTTCACTTAAACTAAAGTTAGAGTGCGAAAACTAATGTGTCTTTGGACGACGACGACGCCAACGTCATACCAATATAGGGCCGCAAAAAAAATTTTTGCGGTCGTATAAAAATCAAGGACATACCATTCTTTACACTGATGCTTTATACATGACCGCTGATTTCTTATGGAAGACCTTTCACTTAAAATTTCAAATGGTCCTGGACTTTTCATTATTTAAACCCCTGCCACTTAATTTGAACTTTGGTAGATAGTTGTCTCATTGACAATCATACCACATCTCCTTATTTTAAACAGTACAATGAAATTAAGTAAATGAGCCTGCATACAATGGAATTTATTAAATGAACCTGTGTACAATGGAATTTATTAAAAAAAAATCATAGATACCAGGATTGAAATTTTGTACTCCAGACGTGCGTTTCGTCTACAAAAGATTCATCAGTGACGCTCAAATCAAAAAAGTTTAAAAGGCCAAATAAAATATGTAGTTGAAGAGCACTGAAACCCAAAATTCCTAAAAGTTTTGCCAAATACAGCTAAGGTAATCTATTCCTGTTTACAGAGTATTTAGAAAAATTCAAAGTTTTGTAAACAGTTAATTTATAATTATGACCATATCAATGATAATTCATGTCAACACAGAAGTGCTGACTACTGGGCTGGTGATACCCTCGAGGAGAAAAACTTTGCATTGCACAAATCATGTCTTCTTTGACTGTCCATGGCGTTAAAACACTAAATCCCTGGGATGTGTTTTAATTGATTTATATTGTGTCATAGATCAAACTTATTCGTTCAGTGTATGTTTACTTGTTTTTGTTTAAATGTCTTTTTGATTGAGTTAAGCCATTTCAATTGATATTTTATAGTGTGTCTTTTTATGTTGTAATGTTACACTACTGTCTCAGGTAAGGGTGAAGGTTGGCGCCTGTTAAAATGTTTAAACCCACTGCATTTTTATGCACCTGTCATAAGTCAGGAGCCTGTTGTTTAGTGGTTGTTGTTTGTTGGTGTGGTTCATAGGTGTTTCTCGTTTCTTGTTTTTTATATAGATTAGACCGTTGGTTTTCCTGTTTGAATTGTTTAACACTAGTCATTTTGGGGCCCTTTATAGCTTGCTTTTTGGTGTGAGCCAAGGCTCTGTGTTGAAGGCTGTACTTTGACCTATAATTGTTAACTTTTTATACATTGTGACTTGGATGGAGAGTTGTCTCATTGGCACTCATACCACATCTTCTTATTTATACTGTACAATGGAATATATTAAATGAGTCACTGTGTTCCTATAAAATTTATTTTAAGTTTTTTGAAAATGTCCAGATTAGTTCCCTTTGAATTCTATGGAAAATATTTAAAAATTAATGGAGAATGTGCCCATGGGACACTGATGATGCCCCCCCTTACATATAACGTTATAAAGGGACATAACTCAAGAATTGTAAAAGTGACGCAACTCAAATCCGAGCTTGATCTGTGTTTTGTGGTAATAAGCATTATGTATAAGTTTCATAACATTTGGTTGAGGCAAACTAAAGTCAGAAAACAGAAACCAATTTTGGGAAGTACGAACGGACGGATGGAGGTACAGCCGGACAAGGGTAACACTTAATGTCCCCTCCGCTGTGCAGGGGGCATAAAAATTAAAACATTGACTTACCTACTGCCATATATGTTTGTTTGACCTTAGAATCTTTCACATGTGTAACCATGTTAACATAATCATTTTTGTTCTAGGTTGACACTCTGATTTCTAATCACAATTTGAAACTTTAAACTCATATTTCTCAAAAGTGTTAAAAAATATGATATACTTACATGGCTCTAATTTTGTTGTAGTGTTCATTTATAACTAATGTAGGTAATATGTCACAACTAATTAAAATAAATATGGATAAAAGTAGATGTGGGCTGGGTACATGTCAACCAGACAGTAACCCAATGACAAAAAAGACATCTAGTGGTCAACAGATACCCCCACCTTCAGCTTAAATCTTAGATTCGGTTTCCATACACCCTTTTTATTCGTCAATCAGCTCATAGCTTTCTAAGCATGATTTCAACTTTTCTTGATATATTTTGATGAAACTTACCAAGTTTTATATCACAACACCTAATAGAGACCAATCGATATAAGGTGCGTTGGGGAAAGGCCAATGTCACTGTATGTAAAAATTAAACAGAAAATGTGCACTTTGTAAAAAATTTGTATTAAGTGGAATATATTTACATATATCCAGAAACCAAAAAAATAATAACTGAATAATAAAATATGTTTTAAAGATAATTAAGGCATAAAACATAATTAGTAATGTAGTGTTTGTCACAGTCAATGTTTCCTTGTAAATGTTGTATTTTGTGGTTTATGAAATCATTTTATACATTTTTGTTGTAGTTTTAAAAGATTCTGTCTATTTTAAAATGTTTCAATTATCATCCAGCAACAAAAACAAAAAACCTTTTTTTTAAATAGCTATTCTAAAATGATCAATGATCAAACTTGATCTGCATTTTATTGATGATGAAAATGTGTTTAAATCTGAAGGGATTCTGACAAGTGGTACTTAAGTTTCATCTGGGAATAAAACAAAATCTTAATTTTAAAGATCAATAAGCAAGGGACATAACTCTTAAATGGTATAAAAATCAATAATACTTATATTGATTATGACAATGTGTTAAAAATCTTAATAAAACATTTGTGAAGTAGTAAGATAATTATATGCTGAAAAAAGGGTTATATAAAACATCAGAACTTTCAAAATTAAAACTGATCTATTTTATGGTCAGTGAGATTGTGTTCAAATTTCAAAATATTTCATCAAGCGGTACTTTCATTATCATCCAGAAACAAAAAGTGTGATGGTTGGATGGAGGACAGGCGATTGGACATATGAAAAGACAGACATGTCCATCACAATATACCCCCTCTTTGAGGCATGGGTAAAAAAATAAATTTGAAACACTCTATCAAAGACCTAATATATCAACTTCAAATTCTACAAATAACAAAAACATTAAAGATGTTCGCTATTCTTGTTTTGACATTTTTTAACTCTAGTTTTATCCATGAAGTGCCAATAAATATTTTGCCCGCTTAAAGCCCTTCTTTTCTTTTCATTATTTATTACATATAGTTTTGAAAATCTGATAAAATCCTTATCTTTTTCATTGTTTTTGAAAGAAAAAGGGTGCCTATGTTAAATTTAAGAAAAATCTAAAGAGAATCATTGCCTGCTAAATTTTTAATTGATTATATCTCAAAAAACAAGGACACGGAACTCATTTTTTTTTCTATTTGTTATGTTCCATTATTTATATACAATCAATTCATAAAAGTCTTTGAAAAAGCTTATAATTTTGAAACTGAGGAGCAAACATCTAAAAGATACGACAAAAAGACAAACACTAAAGACAGTCTAAAGTGGTTCCCAACTGGGGAAAACCACACAAACATATGACAGGGTTAAACTAGTTTATACATTTAGGGAGCTACCATTTGATTTTTATGGGGGGGGGGGGAGGCAGGACAGGAGTTCTGATTAAAAAAAAAGGCAGGATGAGACACTTTGCAAAAGAAAAAGGCAGGATGACAATTTAGGTAAAAAGAAAGTAAGGGTAAACTAAAAAAAAAAAGGCAGGACCGAATAGAGTGAAAAATAAAAAGGCAGGACAGAGATTACAACTAAAAAAAAATGCAGGACAAAATTTTTCATCCTAGCCCCCCCCATAAAAATCAAATGGTAGCTCCCTTACATCCAAACTCTTTTTTAAGAACATGGGATTCCTTGTTAGCAGCAATACTTTGTCAAGAGCTGTGATAGGAAACAAAATTCCCAAAATCTTGTATAAACTTGGAGATATAGCCATATGCTAGTGCTGATGGAGTGTTGCTACATCACAATGGACAGTTCACAATAGGGAAATGAAGTCATCTCTTTTGTCATAAAGCTAAATTCTTAGCCGAGATATTTTAACATTTTTATGAATAAAAGAAAATCACTATTGAAAAATGTCTATCTTTTGACAAAACAAATAAATCTGAAACTCATCTTGGAGATTAAGCAAAGCCTTTACAATATTCTGAGAACAAGTAGCATGTACAAATGGGAGAGAACTCTTGTACAGGTACGGAAAATAGATAACAACAAGTGATTTTAAATGACCAAAGTAAAATAAGAAAAAAAATTATACTTACAAGAAAATAAACAAATAAATATCCATTTTTGAAATAGAAGGTTAATAACAGCTTATCCCATCACTATTGCAACCATTAGGATTATAGATCTATCATTTACAGAGATTATTACATAGTGTATCATCTGTATCCAATCAATACTAACTGTTTCACACAGATATTGTTATACCTATCAAATTTGACACTGCTGAACAAATCAATATCTGTAAACACACTGTTACTGTTACTTCATATTGCTGTCAATACTTTTTTCCACATGCTTTTTACCTGAAATGTAAAGTCAAAGTTTATACACATCTTATAAATGATTTTAATGCATGGGACATTGAGTGATCAACTTTTTATCATTTACACTAAATTTGAAGCCATAAAATCCTATATATACAGAAAGTAAGATTAGGAAAGTTTGATATTTGTTTAGTTTATAAACACTATTCTATACATTTTAATATTGATGCACCCCATTTTTCTCTATTTTTTTCTCCATTTTTTGCCCTTTCTTATTTATTTATAACCTATTATTCTCTTTTCTATAATATCAATTTGACCTCCATCACATTAATTATAATATCAATTTGACCTCCATCACATTAATTATATTACAAGTACATAAAATGTGTAAAATATAATGTAAAAATAATGTAAAAAATATTGAATAAGTAGCAATGGCAATTAGTCAACTTATTTTAATTTGGCCGGAATTAAGAATTTTAATTTTAACTGCTATTGAATTATTCAATAGGGAAAAAAAGTTCTTAACTTCAGGCTATATTAATAATACATGTTATAATTAGACTAATTACCATTAATAATAATTCAATGATTTTACATATAACATTTTATGTACATGTAATATATGAGGGTCAGATTTGTTTTACAGAATGGAGAATAAAGGAGGGGAAGAGAACTAAATCTGTATCAATACAATAACCATTTTAAAAGTTCTGGTGTATCATTTGATTTAAATGTTTATGTTAAAGATTAAATTTCAATAATTAAAGACAAAAAAATTTGACAAATTGCTTTCATTAAAACACCAAAAAACATTTTACTTCATGAATGTTTCAACCTCTGTTTGAACATGTTTTTTTTTCTCTCTGATTTAAGGAAATTTGGGATACTGTTATATTACATTGAAACAGAGCCAAAAAACACCTAGCTATGGTAGTGAATAATAAACTGTTGACACAGAGATATGTCTCGCCTATCCGCATAATATTCAGAAAAAGACAATCTGATGGACAGCAACATTGCTAATTAATTCAAAGTTGCTGGACCATGAATTAGTGGGCAGGGCCTCGAAATGGTCAACAAACTAAGATGTACAGACAGTAATGTAACTTTATAGAAAATATTGTTGTCTATTGTAAGTAGTTTTTATCAAACTAACTTAAGCAGAAAACTTAACATTGAAAATGGGTAATTAATTGAAAGTCACTGGACCATGACCTATTTGGGCAGGGAGTCGAAAAAGTCGTCAAACTGATTTGTACTGATAAGTAATGCAACTTTATAGGAAAAATCTTTGATCTATCACAAGTACATCCTATCAAACTAACTTAAGCAGTAAACTTAACATTGAAAATTGCTAATCAATTCAAAGGTACTGGACCATGATGTTGGGGGCAGGGCCTCAAAATAATCAACAAACTGATATCTACAGATAGTAATGCAACATCAAACAAAATATCATTGATCTATCACAAGTAGAACCTATCAAACTAACTTATGCAGAAAACTTAACATTGATAAAAGAACAGAGTTCCAATGTCCCCTGCGTTGCACATATTTTATATATCCAGGGGCAATAACCAAAAAAACCCACTTTGTTTTGTTGTTCATTAAAACAATTTATAAATAAAAAGCGTGCACGGGAGACAATAAAGTTTTTCTTTATTGTATTATAAATATTTCAAACAGACCTTCAAGGGCATTACTTATAGTATACTATAAGTTTTATAAAAAATTGTACCCGTGAGAGTGCTAACGAGGCCATTTTCCATAAATTTAATATTTCCAAGGGTCATAACTCTTTAAAAAAAAAATCGATCGTCCACCATTATAGAACTTGTCTGAGACATTGCTGATATTAATCTATAGTATAAGTTTTATAAAAATCTGGCAAGAATCGTACCCTTGAGAGCACTAACAAGGCCATTTTCCATAAATTTAATATTTCCAAGGGTCATAACTTTTTTAAAAAAAATCGATCGTCCAGCATTATGGAAATTGTCTGAGGTATTGCTGATATTAATCTATAGTATAAGTTTTATAAAAATCTGGCAAGAATCGTACCCTTGAGAGCGCTAACGAGGCCATTTTCCATAAATTTAATATTTCCAAGGAGCATAACTCTTTTAAAATAAATTGCTTCGTCAAGCACAGCTGGATACAACCGCAGAGGTCCAACCCTGAACAGTTGTGGCAAAAATGGACACAATTTTTCCGCTTGATACAGGTCTGAATTTGGATTGTAATTAAATATTTGACACATACATGACATAATAGGTTTCTGACACAGAATAACTGTAGTCAAAGAACCTAGAATTGGTTATATGATCATGATGATTTGAATTTATATTCAATTTTTAGCTTTTGTGCAATACACTATGCTGTTGCGAATTGACCCCCCCCTTTTTTTGCAAAAAAAAAAAAAAAAAAATTGAAGAAATTTTCTTTTTAATTTCTGAACTCTGAAATGAAAGAAAAAATACATAATCATTGCTAAAATTAATATTTCTTAATCAGCATTTTTAATAGTAACTTCTAAAAATAAATTGATAGCTAATCACCTCAAGACAATACAACATTTCTTTATACATAATTTAAAAGCAGTGTAAGGGAGGTAATCCAAACATAACATTGTACTTTTAAGTAATTGTCCATTAACCAGGAAACCCTTGTTTTTTTCCCCTTTTTTGCCTCTTATTCCTAAACGGTTTGAGCCATAATCCCCCAAAGCCAATCCTAACCATCCCTTTGTGGTATGGAAACTTGTGTTCTAATTTCAGAGAGATCAATACACCTTCCACAAGTTATTGTTTGGAAACTAGAAAAATGCTTATTTAGGCCCCTTTTTGGCCCCTAATTCCTAAACTGTTAGGACCATAACCCCCAAAATCAATCCCAACCTTCCTTTTGTGGTTATAAACCTTGTGTTTAAATTTCATAGATTTCTATTTACATATACTAAAGTTATTGTCCTGAAACCAAATGTCATCGGACGACGCAGACGTGATACCAATATACGACCGCAAAACTTTTTGCGGTCGTATTAAAATGGGTCAAATTATCTTTCAATGGCAATAACTCCTCTAAGGGGTCAAATGACAATTTTGAATATGTTGACAAGTTTGTAGATATTATTTTGCAGAACATTTTTGCTATATTATTGCTCTCTATTTCAGTTTCTACAAAAAAAAAAAAAAAAATAGTTATTCAGAGGCAATAACTCCTAAAAGGAGTCAGTTGACATTTTTCGCAATGTTGACTTATTTGTAGTTCTTATTGTGCTGAATACTTTTGATATCTAAAATTTCACTCCAGCCATTATGGTTCTGCCAAAAAGTGCACAAATGGGTAAAAAAACATCTCTCAAGGGCAATAATCTTATAAGGGGTCAACTGACAATTTCAGCAATTTTGAATTATTTGAAAATACTATTGTGCTGAACATTTTTAATATTTACAGTTTTTCTTCTTCTATTATGGTTTCTGCGAAAATGGGTAAAAAATCATCTTGATGGGCAATAACTCCTTTTATTTATATAAAGGTATTACTAACATAAGTTTTAGGCGGGTTGTATTATATAAGGGCAATAACTACTACTATATTTCAGGTTTCATTACATAATTAGAACATGTTTTATTTCTGAATATGGTTAAATAATTCAATCCATCTATTACATATTGATTTCACTTAAAATCTCAGGATTTTCAAAACCAAGATCTTCAAACTGTATAACACATAGTAAATGTATTTTTTTTATCTTTTGATTTAATCAAAGTATATTTCACAGCTGCAACAAATTGTAATTTTCCAATAGTTCAAAAAGAAAACTTTCACTGTTTAGAACTCATTAAATGTATGTTGTCTTTTGTAATCTGATTCTTTGATGTTTGCTTTTTAAAGGGAAAATCGATTGATTGCTAATACATGTACTAAATGGAAAAATCCACTGCTGTAAACTTAACGTAACTTTTTAAAATGACAATTAAAATAGGTATTCGTATTAATGGTTTCCTCCTTTAAAAAAAAAAGGTAAAATTTTTTGTAGCATTTTTTCACCCTTTAGTCTATGAGGAGACCTGCAATTTTGTCACATTTCAATATGAAAAGAGCCAATAAAAAGGGTAGACATTATGAGGCATAATTATGGTATGGGTAGGGAAATTCCTCAAAACAAAATTTTATTTCGGCCTAAGCCACAAAAGGGGAATTTTGAGGTTCTTCCAACCCATACAATTATCAAGACTTTGCCATCTAAATGTACCGATTGATTGGTGCAGCTTTAACATCCAGAAGATGGATACACTGAAGTCAAGAGATTACCGGTTGCTATTGTTTAGCGATGAAGAAAGCCAACAATACAAAACACTACCAACTGTCATGACAATCACTGCACTGTTGCTCTGATATTCATTACACCTGCCTACTGTGAAGTTGTGAACATTCTTTTTCTCCACACACAAATGTATTCTTATAAAAATGACAATGAGAGTAAAAAAGTCCACCATATAGGATGGGTGCTGGGAACCATTTTGACATTTAACTCCTTAAGGGAATTATTGCCCTTAACTTAAGATTTTTGCAAATTTTGTTTTACATATTGACATGGAAAAATAGCCCACATATTAACTCCATTTATCAGTAAAATACAAAATCAAAGCATCGTCGATGTTGTGATCCAGCCATATTCATAGCTATAGTCTGATATTCTTTCTGACCATACTTTTTTCAATATTTTTCTCTTTTCATTTCCAATCTTACTGTAAAATTTCTATGTTATTGTCCAAAGGTAGGGAATTTCGCAATATTGATGCAAATATTGGTATAAATATTGATATTTCAATTTTAGACTCTGTCAGATTTTGTTTTTATAAATATTTGCAATTTAATGGTATTGACAATAGAAAATGAAAGGATATGGAGTAAATGTACATGAGACAAAGTCGCACACAATACATAGAAAACATAGAAAATTATCAATGAACAGGGCTTTTATTCCTGTTCTTCATCTTGACAGTTGATGTAGGGTCTTCAACAAT